TGCACTCCTTACTCTCATCTGTCTTCTAGGGCCTGATCTCAGCCCATGACCAGTTTAAGTCCACCTTGCCAGATGCAGACAGGGAGCGTGAGGCCATACTGGCCATCCACAAGGAGGCCCAAAGGATCGCCGAGAGCAACCACATCAAACTGTCGGGCAGTAACCCCTACACCACCGTCACCCCCCAGATCATCAACTCCAAGTGGGAGAAGGTGGGTCAGGGCCCTCTGGGCATGCAAGGGCTGGACTGGCCAGGTGGGGAAGCTACCACCTGACCTCAGCTATTGCATCTCCCCCACAGGTGCAGCAGCTGGTGCCAAAGCGGGACCATGCGCTCCTGGAGGAGCAGAGCAAGCAGCAGTCCAATGAGCACCTGCGCCGACAGTTTGCCAGCCAGGCCAATGTGGTGGGGCCCTGGATCCAGACCAAGATGGAGGTGAGGCCACCCACCTACCCACCCCCAGACAATGAGCCCAGGCAGGCTACCTGTCAACTGAGAGAGCTGGGTGTGGTCCCTGTGTCCCGGGCTGCAGATTTCATGACTCTAGCAGACCTGATTTCAGTTCTTACTGGTCAGCAGATGAAAAAGAAAGCCTAGCTAAAGATTGGCCAAAGCTGGTCTGAGCCTCGACTGTCCGATCTGAGCCTGGAGCTGGCCTGCCTTGCACTTAGGTGCTTTTGCTCACTACTCTGGTGGCTCCAGGGCTGGTACTAGTTTCAGAGTACAGTAATGGGGAGCCATGGGTACGGGGGCTCCGCCAGCAGCCAAGTCCTGATGCCAATGCCTTGCCCTCCATATATATAATTTTTATATATAAAATAATAAATATATTATTTTACTCGTTTTTAAGGAGCAGAGGAGCTTTATGTGGGGTGAGGTGTGCACTGAAAAGGTGAAGGCTGTCAGCCTGTCATAGTGCAGGGCCTCACGGATCAGCACCAGAGAGTGGTATGAAAGCAGCAGGGAGCAGCAGGGAGCAGCAGGCCTTCCCGATGGGGCAGCAGCAGGGAGCAGCAGGGAGCAGCAGGCCTTCCCGATGGGGCAGCAGCAGGGAGCAGCAGGGAGCAGCAGGGAGCAGCAGGCCTTCCCGATGGGGCAGCAGCCAGGGCTGGTGTCACCTGGATCTCCTCCCTGCAGGAGATTGGGCGCATCTCCATCGAGATGAACGGAACTCTGGAGGACCAGCTTAATCACCTGAAGCAATACGAGCGCAGCATTGTGGACTACAAGCCCAACCTGGACCTTCTGGAGCAGCAGCACCAGCTCATCCAGGAGGCCCTCATCTTCGACAACAAGCATACCAACTACACCATGGAGGTGCGCCCACACACACTACACCTTTTAAGAACTGTGGAAAGGTTACTGAAAAGCTGGACAAGCCCAAATCCTTGTCTTCAGGGCAGAAGCAGGAGGAGTGGGAGTAATTCTAGCCAGCCTGGAGCACATGTGGAGGGAGACCCTGACTCAGAACACCAGAAGTTAGAGAGAGAGAGAGAGAGAGAGAGAGAGAGAGAGAGAGAGAGAGAGAGAGAGAAAGAATATCTAGAATTACCTGAGTCCGACTGCCTTTTGTCTGGAGGGTTAATATTCCCACCTACCTGTACCTTACTTGAGCAAAAAGCCCTGGCCCTTGTTAGGCAGTCCCCTAGTATGAGGAGCATTGTTGTGCTAGGAACCTGAGAGTCCAGTTCCACATTCCAGTGTGCCAACACATGGTGCCACAAGTCGCCATGAGATTCCACCCCCTCGGAGGGTCCATTATTGAGCAGTGGCCAACATAGCTCTAAAGAGTTGTGTATGATGCAAGCATCTTGGCATTTCTGCCTCTGCCACATACATAGGTGTAGGTGAGGCCCATGATTGGCAGGGGCAGCCAGGAGATACCAGGACCCTTGCCCATAGCTATGGTATAGAGGCTCTTCTCCCCCAGCCCTAACGTGTTCCTCCCTCAGCATATCCGCGTGGGCTGGGAGCAGCTGCTCACCACCATTGCCCGCACCATCAACGAGGTGGAGAACCAGATCCTTACCCGAGATGCCAAGGGCATCAGCCAGGAGCAGATGCAAGAGTTCCGGGCATCCTTCAACCACTTCGACAAGGTAGGCTGTCCCCCCACCCCCGTGCTGGCACAGTGTGGCCTTTTTCCCCGTTGTTTTGTCCTGTCCTACCCTCTTCATCTCTGCATCCATCCATCCATTCCATCGACCACTGTCCACGGGGTGGGCAGGAACTTTGCCCTCCAGGCAGATAGGACTCTGGTCCCCCATGCAGTGTTTTTAAAATTCAGATCCTGATGACCTTTTGACCCAGTACCAGTGTGCAGCCTCCTATCCCTTTCTCCTGAAGGCAGGGAAAGGTCCTCTATCTTTGATCCCTGGATTTGGTCCTCCATGATACCCACTCTAGCCCCACTGAGGCCATGGGACCCTCTAACTGCCTCGCCCATCCCTGGCCACCACCTTGTCTACATCACCTCTAACTGTGTGTTTCCCTTCCCCATGTGTCCTCCTCCCCTGCCCACTGCATGTGGCCTGGCCCCTCTCCCACTTCTGTGGCCTGGTCTCTGCACTGCCCCTGTACGCCTGCCTTCGATGGCCCCCCGGCAGGACCATGGCGGGGCACTGGGGCCTGAGGAATTCAAGGCCTGCCTCATCAGCCTGGGCTACGACGTGGAGAATGACCGGCAGGTACGCACACCCTGGGGCCCCAGCAGACTGTGGCATTAACTGCTCTTCTCTCTCTCTTCTCTCCCCTCCCTCTCACCATTCCCCCTGCCATTATGTGCTGTCTCCCTGGCTCTCATGTCTCTCTGGTCACTTTCCCCCTTACCTGGTCTCTCCGGGCCTCCTGCCTCCCTGCTCCCTCCACTGTGCTGTCTGTCCGCTGTGCACATGGGGCCTACTCTGGGCCTGGCCTCTGCTATGCCTGCGTCCTGGGAGCAGAAGCAGACAGGCAGCATGGACTCAGATGACTTCAGGGCTCTGCTTATCTCCACAGGATACAGCCTGGTATGCAGCCTCTGCCTCCCCTGCCTCTGCTCCTCCCCCAGCCCCTTCACTGCCTCCTGAGCTTCCATATCTTCCTGGGGACACTCCTCCACCCTCTAGTGCAACACGGCCTTGCCTGCCTCCTCCTCTGCTCTGCTGCACTTGAGGGGCTGGGGTCCTTCCAGTGACCCCCCCAACCCCGCTCTTCCTACAAATATCCAGGGAACAGTCTTCCAACTCTCTCCCCTTCTTCTGTTTCTCGTTCTCTTTCCCCACCCTCCAGAGCTGGGACAGTGGACCCAAACCCCAGCTTCCCGAAACATGGGGGGAGGAGACCAAGGGGCAAACTCCCAAGGCCTGGTACAGCCAGGCTGTGGCCACCAGGCTGATGGCATGACCTTTCTATTCTTGAATTCTTCCAAAACTGGATTTGTAAGCAGCCTCACTAAGTCATGTGTACCCTCCCTACGCCCTCTGCACAGGGTGATGCTGAGTTCAACCGTATCATGAGTGTGGTTGACCCCAACCACAGTGGCCTCGTGACCTTCCAAGCCTTCATTGACTTTATGTCCAGAGAGACCACAGACACAGACACAGCCGATCAGGTCATCGCCTCCTTCAAGGTCCTGGCAGGAGACAAGGTGAGCAGGGCCTACAGAAGCACTGGGGCGAGTGATCAGAACCTCAGCCTACACTGGGCACTAGGTCAAGTGGGTGAAGTGGGTGCTTCAGAGTCCTGTCCTGTGCCTCCAGAACTTCATCACCGCTGAGGAGCTGCGGAGAGAGCTGCCCCCCGACCAAGCAGAGTACTGCATCGCCCGCATGGCGCCCTACCAGGGGCCTGATGCCGCTCCTGGCGCCCTCGACTACAAGTCCTTCTCCACGGCCCTCTACGGGGAAAGTGACCTGTAAGGCCCTCAGCTACCCTGACTGGACTCCCTCGGCCTCCCGGAGGGGCTGAGGAGCCCTGCCCAATCCTGACTCTGTATCTATGCAAAGAGCTCTTTGTGGTCCTTCTAGGGGTCAGGCAGGGAGGGGCTAGGCAGGGGAGGGAGGCCTAGAGATCAGCACTTCTGGTCTGCTAAATATATGTATGATGAGTTGTCGGGTTTTAACCTATGTGAAGGGGACACCGGACCCTTGGGCACCTTCTGTGTCCCAGAGACACCTTTCCAACCCAGGTCCCCTCCTTTGCCCCTGAGGCCCCTTCAAGGCCTCCCCTCACATCCAGGCCAAAGCCCCATGTGCCTTGTCCAGGAACCACCTGCCCTGCAAAGTCCAGCAGAGGGCACCCCGCTCCCCTGGACCAGATGTCAGTGGCTCCTTTCTCCCCCCCTCCCTTGCCCCTTTGTGATTACCAGGAGCAGAGGACCTGCCATCATCCCTCTGCTCCAGGAGTGCCGGTGGGGCAGTCAGCCCCAGCCCATCTGGGCTCTGGGTCTCAGATTTTTAAGGACCAAAACCAACAAAAACACAAAGAATGGAACAAACAAACAAAAAAAATCTTAAAAAAAAAAAAGGAAAAAAAAACCTATAAAAAAACTATAAAAATTAAAAACTTCCAGAGAATTACTATTTACTTTATTAACTTACGGATTTATTATATAAATATATATCCATCTAGCCGCATATCTCTGCCACCTCTCTCACTCTCGTAATGAAGACATAGTTGATTCAATGCCCTCCCCAGCCCCCTCCTGATTTTCCCCTTGTTTGTGGTGGGCAGGGGTCTGTGGAGACCTCCTGAGGTGGAGGTGGGCTGCTGGCCTGCCTGCCTGGTAGTGGATGGGTTTCACCCCTTTGAGTTTATTCTGATTGATTTTTATTTTCTTGGTTTCTGGATAAACCGCCCTCTGGGGATGGGAGAATAAAACTTGTAATATTTTTAAGAAGGAGTCTAGTGCCATCTTTTCTCTGCGTTGCTGTCACACCCTGGGGAGCTTGCAGGGCCAACCACGTGTACCCATGTGTGGATGTGGGCCTTTCTAAACAGGGACTGGCATATGCACAGGCTTCAAAAGGAAAGAAGGCAGTTCTGTTTGGAAGCTCAGGCCCATAATCCCAGTACTTGAGAAGACATCACCAGAAGAAAGACACCAGTGCCACCACCTGTGCAGGGGTGGTTGGGACTAGCCCCAGGAGGGTGCGTGTCCAGATTCAGCTTCCACCACTGGTGCCAAACAGGGCAGCTCAGACCTGGAGGAGGGTGGCCTCCCTCAGCTTCTGGCCTAGGAGAAGGTAGCCACCTCCGACCACTGAATAGAAAAGAGAGAACTTTGGAACAGAGGCCTCAAGATGGTGCTGGAACCACCCTGTCTCTCTTGCTAGCTCACCTGTTTGTGGGTCAGGCAGACAACCCCCTCACCACCATCCAGGTGTTGGCTGCAGTGACCTGTGTTTGAGAGGCAGGGTGAGTACCCAGCACTAGTCCTGAGGTACGCCCCAGCATACCCACCCAGCCAGGAGCAGCACTCATGGAAGATGCAGGTGAGCCGGGCTGCACAGGACACAAAGCGTTCGAAATCCACTCTGAGCCGGCTGTCCCGGTAGCGGCTAGTAAGGGACTGTGTCAGCTGGTTGTTCAGGTGGAAGCCTAGAAGGAGGCTGTGTTGGTTGTGGTGCTGCTTTTTGTTTGAATTGGGGGGGGGGGGTAGGTGTATGTAGTGTGTGTGCCTGTGCAAACTAAAGACTGCTGAAGACTGACTTAGTGTCTTCCTCAGTCATACTCCACTGTGTGACGCAAAGTCCACTGAAATCCTGAATTCAAACCAGTTTCTTTTAGCTAGCAAGTTTCCTCTGGGGGGTCACTTGTCTCCTCCCAAATGCTGGGCATTTAGGTGAGCCACAGTGTCCCCTGACCTTCACATGGGCACTGGAGATCTGAACTCTGACCCTTATATATACTTTAATATGTAAGTATTTTACCTAAGCCATATCCCTGGCCCTGTGTTCCGTTTTGTGTTATGTTTAAGCGAGGCTGGCCTCCAACTCCTTTTAAGTAGCCAAGGATGGTCATCAACTGGTTCTCCTACCTCTACCTTCCAAGTGTGAGATTTAAAGCCTAGGTTTAACTTAGATGCGAGGTGAGCACTCTGCAAATGCAGTCTGGGCTTTATGTTGCTGTTTTGGAATGTTAGAGAGAGAACCTGGGCCTTTGCACATGTTAAGCAAGTGCTATCCACTGCACTGTGCCCCTAGCCCTTCACTGGGGGATTCTAGGCAGGGGCTCTACCACTGAGCCACACCTCAACCCCTCACAACCCCTCACTGGGGGATTCTAGGCAGGGGCTCTCCTGCTGAACTGCATTCACCCCACAGCCCTTTGTGTATTTTATGAGACATTAAATTACTTGACCTACAACTTGCCATCTTGCCTCTGCCTCTCAAGGTACCTACAGTTGTGGCTAGCTTTGTGGTTGTTCCTTCAGAGGTTGGCTGTCTCCGAGCTGCCTGAAACACTGGAGAACCCTGCTGTGTAGTTCTCTTCTGAAGCCACGCCTAAAGTATAGTCATGGGCCTTGTCACCTCTGCTGTAGAATCACAGTGAGGTTTCAAGAAGCCCCAAGGCCTGAGGACTTGTTCCTCCCAGCTTCTATGTGCCCCTTATAGGCCCAATGATAACTGCACAAGTTTGCACTGTATCTTTGTGTGCTCACTCAACAACTCCAGGTCCCACCCCACACACAAACACCATGCCTAGAGCTAGGTTGCTTGAGGCAGGTCACTCCCTTTGATGTTCATGTACCCGTTCATATTAGCATATGCTGGTCCAGGCCGGGCTGAAGGAAAACCTGGCTAGATGGGGTAGAAGGACCTGAGAGCCCTCGGCCAACCTGTTAGAATTGCTGAATATTCCTAAAAAGACATAATCAGTTTCCTTCTGTGTAGAACAACCTTTGTTTGTGCCACTCACTTGGGGTGAGTAGCACAGGACACAGAGAATGGGGCAGATGGATGGATAGGTGATCCAGTGAACTCCCGTCCTCCCAGTCTATCCTGTGTCCTGCTTCTTTGGGGGTCAACACCCTGACCCCCAGGCTTTCTACTCTGATGCTTCCGGATAATGTCTTACATGTTCCTGGACTCTTGGCCACTTTCTCCAGATCTCGTACTTGGAGTTTATCTCTTCCACTGGGCAGTTGTTCCACCCCCAAATCTCCCTGGCTCCTTGTACTTGGTGGTCACAGTTAGAAGCATGGACCCAGCCATCTTCCAGAAGCTTTCAGCAATCCCACTGAAGTTCCCTAACACACATCTCCCCATGGCTTAGGGTCCTGGGTGGGACTTCCTCTGCTGTAATGCAGTAGCCTCGGAAGGTGCTTTGGGATATTCTGTGACTTTGGAGAATGACTGCCCTTGCATTCCACTGTACACATGAGCCATGTCACAGAAGCAAACACTCAGTTATGTGCCCAGAGCTACCACAGAAGGAAGTTAGTGCTGGGCCTTGGGAACAGCCTCAGTCTGGGATAGCCACAGGCTGAGGGGTGTTCTGAAAGGAGGAGTAGGTGCTGTCCTTACAAGCATCCGGGAAGGTCCCCATCCATACCTGCAGCATTCAGGGCCAGCCTTAACTCATAGGAGTTCATTGTCCCAGAGGCATCTTCATCAAACTTGTCAAATGTGGCCTGGAGGGTGAAGAGGCAGATAGACGGGAGGGAATTCCACTCAGATCCCTGAGCACTGATACTGCACTGTGAAATAGTCAAGAGAGGGCCTCTGAGGCCCCCGCTGCCCTGGCTCCTGGCTGGGGACCACTGTGCACATGTGTATCTCACAAGACAACAAGCTCCCGGCAGGCCTTTGGGAACAAGTTCAAATCTTTCTACCCACAAAGGCTTAGGGGAGGGCTTAATAGCTGGGGTTATGGTTCCAGGATCCTGCAGCTACTCCTTCCCCCTCGCTTGAAGGAGTACCCATTGGTAGCTAAGCAAAGGCTCCTTGGAGGTGACAGGTCTATAGTCACAGGGCAAAGGAGCTGAGTTAGGAACGGATTCCAGGATTCCAACAGGAACCAGCAGCAGCTCTGGACCAGTCTAGTTCCTGCTCTCAGAGGGCCACAGTGGGGTGACAAGAGCATTATATCTTTCTCTTTTTTCACTATTTACTTATACAACAGTCTGCCTCCATGTGTGCCCGCACACCAGAAGAGGGCACCAGATCTCATAGGTGGCTGGGAGCCACCATGTGGTTGCTGGGAATTGAACTCAGAACCTCTGGAAGAACAGCCAGTGCTCTTAACCAATGAGCCATCTCTCCAGCCCCGCATCATATCTTTTTCACTCCCAAGTTGGCATGAGAGGTCCAGTGCTCCATTGGTGGCCCGCAGGACATTAGTGTCTAGAGCAGAGAGGTTCTCAGCTGGTGTGTCGGGACCCCTTTGGGTGTCAGCCCTTTTCTACAGGCACATCAGACATCCTACATAGCAGATATTTACAGTTCATAACAGTAGCAACATTACAGTTATGAAATAGCAACATGGTTGGGGTCACCACAACAAGAGGACCTGCATTAAAGGGTCCCAGCATTAGAAAAGTTGGGAACCACTGCTCTAAGAGGTAGCTGGTCCCTATGCTCACCTTACCTGCCATACCAGGAGATGGCCCCAGAGTTCCTGGAAGTGGTGTAGGGCCAACCTTCGCCCATGCTGCAGATGAGGACATCTGGTTACAATTAATGTCCCATGAGAGGCAGGGGGGATCCCCAGCATCTCTGTCCCTCCTCCCCATACACTGTCTCACATACCCCAAAACACTGCACAAGCTGCTCGCAGGTCCTGAGCCCAATCTCTCCAGAAGTCCTGGCATTGGCCCTAGCTACAAAAAAGAAATCCGACACCTCTTGCATATGGACCAACATCGCAAGAGCTATGTGGACTAACTCCCGCAGTGGGCATTTATAGGAACAGGTGCAGAGTCACGCCTGACAAAGCCAATAAAGCTGTGGTCCCAAGTCTTTGTACATGGTGCTTCTTAGGGGAAGACGGGGAGGGGGGGGCGTGAGTGATTATGGCCCTCATGTGACCATGAGACCATAGAAAGAGGAAGCTCAAGCTGAGCCCTGGTTCCCCTTGCATCATGCATAAAGGCTCTGGGTGAGCCGCTCCAGTTGCAGAGACCCCCTCCCCTGGCCAAACTCACAGGGCTCCAGAGCGATGCTTATTAAGGTCTGCAGCTGAAGTGCATCGAGTTCCTCCTCCTAGTCAAGAAAGAGCTACTTGTGAGGCCACTGGTTCAATCATCTAACTAACGAAGGCTCTGGGCCAGGCCTTGTGCTCCGTAGTGTGGAGGTAGCGGTGGCTACCTTCGTAGGGTTCAGCTAGAGGAGGCAGGTCTAGCCCTTGGGTGGTCACGACAGCGATGGTTAGGGCTCCATACACTGGCTGTGGGAGCCCACAGTGGACAGATGACAGAGGAGGACACTTAGGGAAGACTCTGGCCGGGGGTCTGAACCTCCAGAGAAAGCAGGGGCAGATGGAGAAAAGCCCGGTGGCAAGGGAAATCGTTCAGCACGCCCAGAGGAACACAAACAGGAAAGCATCATGGAAGTAGAGGGGGACACCCAAAGCCCCAGCATGGTGGCCCGAGTCTGTAACCCTAGCACTGGGTTACCTGAAGGAGGCCAACCTGGCCTGCAAGATGCAGAGTTGTTCCAGGGCACCCTGCTCTGCAGTTTTGTTCGTTTCTTTGGTTTTTTGATTTTTTTGTTTGTTTTGTTTTTGTTTTTGTTTTTTTGACACATAGGGAGAGAGGGAGCTTTGCATCATTTGGCCAGACACCCCAGTCCCCGACCCCTCCTCACCTCTCCAGCCAGCTCCAAAAACAGCTGAGCCAGCTCCAGCTCCAATGGTTTGTAGGGGACCTGTTGGGTGGAGGAGTTCAGTCCCCTCCCAAAGTCCCACCCGCTGCGTCCAGTCCCCGCCCACAACAGTACCGCACCTGGAGGGCGTCCAGGTCGGCGCTGATCACGTCATCGATCTCCCTGCAAATTACGGAGTGGGAGGATGATTTCAGGCGGGGAATCTCAGCAGAGGAAGTGAGTGGAGTCAAAGGGCAGTGGGTTTAATCGGGGAGAGGATGGGTGGCAGAGATTCCAGGGAGGGCGTGGCTGGGATGAGGGCGGGGCTTTATGGTCCCTGAGCGGGATTTGGTACCAGGGGCTAAATGGATGATTCTAGATTGAGGTCCCTGGGCCAGGGTCGGGGTCGGGCTCACACTGCGGTGTGGCTGCGTTCCGAAAAGATGCGCAGTGTGAAGTCGGCTTCGTCGCCCACGCGTGAGGCGCTGGGTACCACCAGGTAGTGGCCCGGCGGCAGGCGGCAGCGGCGGCTTACGTCGCGGCGGGCGCAGAACACCGAGCGGTCAGCTCGCAGCAATCCCGGCAAGAGCGCGCGGCTGCGCGGGGAGTCCCAGAGGCCCAGCAGCTGCGGGCGGGGCGCCATGACCACCACCACCCCAAACTCCCCACCCAACCCCCTGGTCCTCCACACACACACCCAGACTGTCTAGCCAGGCCCTCCCGTGTCCCTGGTTTTTCAGCGCTGGTCGACCAAGCCCTAGGGTGGGTCTGGGGTCGCATCTGAAACCCACCTCCTCTGGAATCTGCAGAGAGGAAAAGTCGGGGAAGTGGGGGGGGGGGCGATGTGCAGATTCCCCTCCCTGAGCCCCCCACCCCCACCCCTCACACCGTCCTTTTTTCTCGATCCTTAATATCCCCCCATCCTAATCTCAGATCTAGGTCCCCTCTGACCGCTTCCCCAGCCCTTTCCTTTCCACCTATATCCTCGTCCCTTCCCAGTCCCCTTAGTCACCTCCTGCCCTCTGACTCCGAACCTTTTTCTGTCCTTGTCCCTGAATCCGTCTCTCCAGTTCTCTCAACAACAGCTCTCCTCCCTAACCCCCAGTTCCCTCCTTCCCGTTACAACGCTCGTGTGACCCTCTGCCCCACCAGACCTCAACTTGACCTTGGCCTCACCTGGAACACGTGGAAGCCCACAGTGAGGTAAGTGAGGCCCCTGGCCCTCAGACACCGGCGGTTGCGCTGGATGAGCGACAGGAGGACCGTACACTTGGGCATGCGGCCTCCCCTCGCTGGGCCCCGCGCCCCTGCTGCTCCCCAACCACCCCAGGGTCCCTCTTCATCATCTTCATCCTCTTCTTCATCTGGCTCCAGCAGCGTCAGCCGGAACTGGGGATTGGTCCAGAAGGTTTCTGACAGAAGAGAAGGAGGTGGAGTTCCCAGCCTGCCACAGCCCCCGCCCCAGCTTCCTTCTCAGGGGCCCTCAGGCCTCACCAGCACTGGGCTGGCTCCCGCCGGAGTTGAAACCTCTCACCCAGCGGCCCTGGAAGATGTGGATATGCCAGCCTCCGCCAGCAGGGCTGGGACCCAGCACCTCAGGGCTCAGTGAACAGATCTGGACCGTGTTGAAGTGCGTGAGGAAGTCCTGAAGCTCCATCCTGGACAGCACCGACCATGGGAGATGCCCAGTCACTCCGGAGTCCAACTTGAGGGACCCCAAAAGTGGTCTCCAGCCACAAAGCTCCCAGTTCCTTAAATACTGCCAATATAAGCTCCACTCTCCAGAAACCCTGAAGGTCTGAGGCCTTGCCAAGTCATCCGAGTCCTGACAAATGCCCCACTACTGGGGATATTTAAACTCTCAGATATCTTCAAATTAACTTTAGACAATCTTCAGGTAGGCCGGGAAGATGACGGAGCCGGTAAAGCTATGGTCGCAGCTCACCTGTGGTCGCGTGCTATTACTTTAACCGTGTATAGGTGTATTGTGTTTCTCTGCTTTTGTTAACGGTGCAAAGACATGTGACATTTATTTGAGTAAATAAAATTAACTTGGAGTCAGGAGGCTGAGTCAGCAACTAGCTGACAGGAAGTGTAGGGAGGAACTACGTGTGTAGCGAGGGTTCTTTAGTGGGGGCTGAGCAGAAGAAAGGTCCCTTTTGGGGGAGAAAAGGAGAGGAGGACGCCGGGGGTAGCTACACAACCAGCAACGAAGAAAGACACAGAGAAAGACATAGAATAGAGAAAGGTAAAAGCCCAGAGGCAAAAGTAAATGGGATAATTTAAGAAAAGCTGGTTAGAGACAAGCCACGCTAAGGTTGGGTATTTATAAGTAAGAGTTAGTCTCGGTGTTTATTTGGGACTGGGTGCTGGGCCCCCAAAGAGTAAAGCGTTAAACAAACAAACAAACAAGAAAACAGTTTCAGCCTGACAACCCTAGTGAAAGGTGGTCTCTCAGCATCGTGCATTTCTGCACAGATGCAGTAAATACAATGTATATATTGAAAGCCCCAAATGTCACTAAGCCTCCTCAGCCGCCCCAAACATGATTCTGTCCCTTTCAATCCCCCAAAATCAGTGTTTCCAAATTCCTTTAGACTCCTTCCATGGGCTAATCATGGTGGGCTCATGCCTGCAAGCCCTGCATTGGGGAGACTGAGGTAGAGAAACTGGCCTGAGTCCGAGGCTATGCTGGTCTATGTAGTGAATTCTGTCTCTCTTTGAAAACAATGCCCTTAACAGTCCTGTTCCTACTGCTTCTGCCCTGACTTGTCCAACCCATGCATTTCTGTGTGTCCTTTCTGTCCCAGTGTCCCCTCCCCTCACAGGTAGAGTGGGTCCCCGAGAACTCACCAGAACTCACCGTCCTCCTTTTTCACAAGCAGGGCATCTCGCCACTCAGAGGGAAGCATGTCCCAGCGAGGACAGCTAGAGACCAATGTGAGATGTAGGCAAGGGGGACTGAGCCCCCTCATCCCATCCCACCTGTCACCCCCACCCCCAGCCCATCTCACCTGTCATCCCACCCCCAGCCCATCTCACCTGTCACCCCACCCCCAGCCCATCCCACCTGTCACCCCCACCCCCCAGCCCATCCCACTGTCACCCCTCACCCCCCCCCCAAGCACATCCCACCTGTCACTCCAGGGCCCGGACCACTCCACACGGCCCCAGGGGTTCCTCAGCCGCAGCAGCCGCACCTTGGTGAAGCCCAGGAACATCTGAAGACAATGTCGTCAGTGAGGGTGGGGTGGGGGCGTCTTCACAGAGGGTAGCATGGGGACACCCCTGTTAGACTAGCCCAGCAATGGGTGTGACTCACCTTGTGTGTACCTGTAACAGAATACGCATGTCCCTTTACCAGCCCTTCATCTGTGCGGATCTCACCCCGATCACTCTGAAGGAGGACAAGATTGGGAAGCTGGGGTTGGGGACAGGTCAGCTGTCTCTCCAGCCTCCCAGGACAGGTTATCTCTCTCTCTCTCTCTCTCTCTCTCTCTCTCTCTCTCTCTCTCTCCTCCCAGGACAGGTCAGCTGGCTCTCTCTCTCTCTCTCTCTCTCTCTCCCTTCCTCCCTCCCTCCCTCCTTCCCTCCTCTCTCTCTCTGGCCTCCCAGGACAGGTCAGCTCTCTCTCTGGCTTCCCAACCCCGCTCCATGCTTCCATCCCAAGAGCTGTGCCAAGGTGCTCAGCGAGGGTGACAAGAGACACAGAAAGGAGAGGGAGAAGCCTGGGCCCTGGGTCACAGGCCTATGATCCCAGCTACACAGAAAGCTGAGGCAAGAAGACCACAAGTCCAAGGCCAGTGTGGAGGGGTGTAGCTTCCCTGTAGAGCCCAGGTCTAGAATCTACCAGCAAGGATCTGGGGGTCAACAGCAGGAAGTAGGAAAGACAAGACACTCTGCTCCCCTCCCACCGCATCCCTGACTGTGACGGTCTAGCAGAGGTCCATTTGGGGGCTCGGCTCTCACCAGGGCAGTGGCACCCACAAGGGACTCCTTGGCCAGTGCATGGCGAAGGGCAGCAAAGAGACCTGGAGTGTTTCGTCTCAGGTAGAGGACCTCACCCACGCCTCCTGTAAAGTCCACGAAAGCCTCATTCATGTGACCTCCTCGCATCACCTCGTAGGAGCCATGGAGCCTGTTGGAGCAGGTGGAGTGGGTCGTGGGTGGGGGACTCTATCAAGGTGATTGTATAATATATGTGTGTGTGTGTGTGTGTGTGTGTGTGTGTGTGTAATATATGTGTGCATATTGGTTTATGTATTAGTTAATGTTTATATATGCTTTGCCTGCATGTATGGCTGCGCACCACATGTGTGCAGTGCCCAGAGGTATTAGGTCCCTGGTACTGAAGTTAGAGACAGTTGTGTCTGGGAATCAAACCTGCGAGAGCAGCTACCACCCTCAACACTGAACCATCCCTCCAACCCCCTCCAGTACCCCTCTTGTTTTTGAGACAGGATCTCATTATGCAGCCTTGGCTGGCCATGAACTCACTCTGTAGACCAGGCTTACCTCACACTCAAAGAGACCCGCCTGCCTCTGCTGTCAGAGTGCTAGAAATAAAGGTGTTCGTTCTCTACCACGCTCAGCTTATTTTTTGTTAGTCACGGTATTGCTGCACAGTCCAGTCTGACCTTGAACTTGTAATCCTCCTGCCTCAGTGTACTCAGTACTGTGATTACAGGTGTAGGCTACCAAGCCTGGCTCAACCCCTGAAATATTCAGAGATGAAGCGGGGAGCTCTAACAGGGTTAGGCCTCTGATCTCTAGAATCAGTGGGACAGGAGGCCATGGGCCCAGCTGTGCTAGAATTGTCAGCCTTTCATGAATGAACCTTCGAGGCTCCGGAAGGCTGTGAAGGCGAGGCCTATGGGGACTTGTCAGGGCTTCCACGGCCTGAGATGGAGAGGATGTGCTGTGGATGTCTAACGGATCATGAGAGATGGAGCAGGATTCAAGGCCCTTCAGGGAATAGGATTTACCAAATCCAGAGCCTGATAGATACATGGGATTTTAGGATCCTTAGGAAATATGGGTATCAGTGGACTTCTAAGAGTGTTTGTGGGAGGGCTGGAGAGATGGCTCAGCCATTAAGAGCATTGCCTGCTCTTCCAAAGGTCCTGAGTTCAATTCCCAGCAACCACATGGTGGCTCACAACCATCTGTAATGAGATTTGGTGCCCTCTTCTGGCCTGCAGGAATACAGGCAGACAGAACACTACACATAATAAATGAATAGAATAGAAAGAATAGAATAGAATAGAATAGAATAGAATAGAATAGAATAGAAAGAATAGAATAGAATAGAATAGAATAGAATAGAATGTGGGAAATGTCAAAAGGGGAGACCTTTAAGATTTGAAGATTCACAGGTTGAGAGTATGTGTCAGTGGTAGAGCCCCTGCCCAGAATCCCCCAGTAAGGGGCTCGGCTGTGGCTCAGTGGTAGAGCCCCTGCCTAGAATCCCCCAGTGAGGAGCTGGGTATGTGGCTTAGCATGAACAAGGTCACGGGTTCCATCTTCTGCACCTACACACCCTTCCTAAATTAGCCAGGAGTTGTGCATACCTGTAACCCATGTCCACAAGAGTCCAACAAAGAAAAGTTATGAGTTTGAGGCCAGTATGGGCTCCTTAATGACTATAAGTAAATAAATAAAGGGTTTTCCACAGCATGGGGATATAGTTCAGTCGGTACAGTGTGTGCCTGCCCAGCATGTATGACACCCGGTTCAAGCCGCAGCACTATATAAACCTGTAACCCCTGCACTCCTGAGGGAGAGGCAAGGACGTCAGGTCCAGGGTCTCCTTGACTACATAGCTAGTACCCAGGCAGACGAGGCTGCGTGAGGTCCTTTCTCAATAAAATAGCAAATAAAATACCAAATAATGAAAGTTCTAGGAGAGTGTTGTGATGCTAGGACCCTGGCTGCTAGGACTTGATTTGGGGTCCTCAGTTGTATGTCTGGAGGACCCCAGATGTTGGTACTCCACATAGCTTGGGGCCTGTTCCTGGGACTTGGGGCGAGAGCTGGGAGGGATTGGCATTCTTACTTGGCATAGGCCTTTTCCAACAGAGGAGCCCAGAATTCATTCCTCTGTTCTGAGCGCACGAACATCAGCTTCCCCTCACGCACAGGCAGCCTGTCGTCAACCACCACATCCACCCAGCGGCCAAACTGCCAGAGCTAGGGGAAAGAAAGGGCAGGAGTGGGCTCAGCTTCCAGGCTGCCTGAGTCCAGCCTTCCTTTCTGTCTACCACTTCCCAAATTCCAGAATCCCAGCACCCAGGGGAGAACTGTGAAACCAAGGTAACTGTGAAACCAAGGTCATCTTCCATCACAGGGGAAACTGAGGCATGGAGCGAGGAACTGAGCTCTACCTGAAAATGGAAGACCCCTGCATATCCATCTTGGAAACTTTGTCCAGGAGGAACCACACGGTACAGGAGTCTGGGGTACAGTGTCAGGGAGGCGGCAGCTGCAAGAAGCCAGCAGTTTCCTGGGAGGGGATAGGCTCGGATTAGATGAGGAGGGACCAAGGGACCAGCAAATTCAAGAATACAGGGAAAGATGGGGGTGGGGGGAGAAGACGGAGGTGTGGAGCTGTCCAGACCCTGGGTCTGAGGGCTCACCCAGGCTTCCCTGACATACATCTGTCCTGCTCATGTCTTCACAGATGAAGTGGGGTTCAGCACAAAACTCCTGGAAGACGAAGATTCCAGTGAAACCAGGAAAGGGAAGACTGGAGCAACTGAGAAGCCAGAGGCCCAGGTCCCTGACACCTAGGTAATGAGGGCCTGTAACTCTCGGAAGGCCTGTGGGTAGGAGCGTTGCTTTCCTGAACTCTCCCCGCCCCCAACCTCATGGCTGAGCCTGTTGTTATCCATCTAGCCCCACTTCCTCAGAACCAGGGTCCAGGCCCAGCCTCTTTCCTCAGACCCAGAAACCTAGGCCCCAGCCTTCCTCCCTCAGACCCAGGAACCCAGGCCAGCCTCTTCCCTCAGACTCAGGGATCTAAGCCTACCCCTCCTCTCTCAGACCCAGGGATCTAAGCCTACCCCTCCTCCCTCAGACCCAGGGATCTAAGCCTACCCCTCCTCCCTCAGACTCAGGGATCTAAGCCTACCCCTCCTCCCTCAGACTCAGGGATCTAAGCCTACCCCTTCTCCCTCAGACCCAGGGATCTAAGCCTACCCCTCCTCCCTCAGACTCAGGGATCTAAGCCTACCCCTCCTCTCTCAGACCCAGGGATCTAAGCCTACCCCTCCTCCCTCAGACTCAGGGATCTAAGCCTACCCCTCCTCCCTCAGACTCAGGGATCTAAGCCTACCCCTTCTCCCTCAGACTCAGGGATCTAAGCCTACCCCTCCTCCCTCAGACTCAGGGATCTAAGCCTACCCCTCCTCTCTCAAACCCAGGGATCTAAGCCTACCCCTCCTCCCTCAGACTCAGGGATCTAAGCCTACCTCTCCTCCCTCAGACTCAGGGATTTAAGCCTACCCCTCCTCCCTCAGACTCAGGGATCTAAGCCTACCCCTCCTCCCTCAGACCCAGGGATCTAAGCCTACCCCTCCTCCCTCAGACTCAGGGATCTAAGCCTACCCCTCCTCCCTCAGACTCAGGGATCTAAGCCTACCCCTCCTCCCTCAGACTCAGGGATCTAAGCCTACCCCTCCTCCCTCAGACTCAGGGATCTAAGCCTACCCCTCCTCTCTCAGACCCAGGTCCCAGCCCCAGCCCTCCTCTCTCAGACCCAGGAGTCCAGGCTCAGTCCTCCTCCCTCAGACCCAGGATCGCAGGCCCAGCTCTTCTCCCTCCGACTCAGGGATCAAGAATCCAGGCCGCACCCCTCCTCCCTCAGACCCAGGAACGCAGGCCTAATCCTCCTCCCTCCGACTCGGATCAAGAACCCAGGCCGCACCCCTCCTCCCGCAGACCCAGGCCCCAGCTCGACCCCACTTTACATAAGGCCTCTTCCATTCCACCCCTTTGGCCTTCTCTGAGTCGGGTCCCAGCTTGTCATAGCCAAGGGCATCAGGACCAGCAGAAAAGTAAGGGTCACGAAACAGGATTCCGGATTCCAGGCAGGCTGTCCGGATGGCTTCGTAGTTCTGGCCCTTAAAGAGCTGCGGGCCCCTGGCTCCAGCCTCGGCCCCGTCCTCCACCAGCTGGATGGTGACCTTCCTGTCGCCACTCTCCATCCGGATACTCTGGACTCACAGATGGACCCAAGCCCTTTAACCTCCTGAGTCATGAGGCGGGGCTTCTGTTCCATTTGTACCCCGTTGGGGGTCTTTAGGCAGCCAGGAGCATTCTGCCTTGTTAATATTAATTGGTGGTTTGGGGTGCGATGGAGCAGGGACGCCTCTTCAGTGGTTTCCTCCCTGGGGCGTGGAGCCTTCAGTTGTGGCCAGCTGAGAGCTTAATGACCGTCAGCGCCACGAAAGGTAAGCAGACCTAGAAGGACCAGCCGCCACCACGGGAGTGCCGGGAAGGAGGTCAATGTGGGGGTGGATTTCTGCCTGCTTGTTCCTGTTGCCACATCTCAGCACCACCCTGGCCTTCCTGTTTCCCTGTCTGTCTTTTGGGGAGCAGTGCCTGGTAGGCAGGTGCTCTCTCCTGGAACCACATCCCCAGCCCTCCGTTTACTTCTTATTTTCATACACGGTCTCACTGAGCGTCTGAGGCTAGCCGCTCTCAAGTCTCTTGCCTCAGGCTTCGAGTGATAGATCTGCTCGTGTGTGTTGGGCGTCTGCTTTGTTGTTTTAGACCGAGTCTTATGTAGCCTGCTGGGCTGGGAATCAAACCCAGGGCCTTGTGTGTACGCTGCCGTTTGAGCCAGTTCACAGGGAGACAATCTTTGTTTGGATTTTTTGTTTTGTGTCAGGTCCCCCCCGCCCCCCCACACACACACAGAGATGACAAGTGACAAGACATGCTAGCCCCTTAATGGTTTTCATTTGCTTCTCTCTGCATCTGTGTCTTTGCTTGGTTTTTAATTGGGGGGGGGGAGGGTATTTCGGTTGTTTTCCTTTTTTTTTTTTTTTTTTTTTGAGACTAGGTTTAGACCAGGCTGGCTTTGAACCTGCAGGGATCTGCCTGCCAGGAATCAAAGGCATGTGCACCACCCCTAGCTTGCTTCTGCCTCCGATTTTGCCTTTCATCTCTGGTCTTGTCTGTCAACTCCACTTTTTGACACTGCAGCCCACACGCGGCATCCATCACTCACTGAGGATGCAGGATTCCTCCAGGCCTCTCTGCTGACTCTCACGCAGGTAGACCATGGTCAGCTAGGTCACCCAGGCAGGACTGACTACACTGCCCTGTGCTCACCCTTGCCCAAGCTGTGGGGCCCCTTCCCCAGCTGAGCAGGGGCTGAGCAACAGATGTAGGCAGATCCCTGGCAAGGTAGAACCCCTCCCCCTCCCCGCTTCAGGAGCCTGGTCACCTTGGTGACACCGAGATGTCACTCATACTTTCAGCAGCCTTCCATCCAACCCCTTCCCTCCCAGCACCATGGCCAACAACAGGGGTGTGTGAGGCAGAAGGATCAGAAGTTTAAGCCTCAGCTACATAGCAAATTCCAGACTAGCCTGACTACAAGGGACCCTGCAACAAAACAATGAAGAAAGAAAACCCCACAAATTTTTCTTCCTGTGGAGTTGCCAGGGTCACACAGACCCCCACATGACAGGTATCTGACTCAAACCTCAGCCACCGACTTTGTCTGAAGCCAAGTGTATATGTACTCCTCACACCTGTGATCCAGCGCTCAGGAGGAAGAGACAAGACCAGCCTAGGCTGAACGGTGGGGCAAAGGACTGTATGCTTTGGGCTGACCCACATAAGCGTCAGGTGCCTCCGTTTCTTCAAATAGTAGTGGGTGTCTCTAACTTGCCTTTCTCCCTCTCTTCCTGCCTCTTATTTCTATTTTTGCCAGGGCTGACGATGAACGTGGGGCCTCCTACATGTTAGTCAAGCCTCTACCACTTCTCTACCTCCCGAACCCACAAGCCTGTCGTTGTTAGATCCCAGCTTAGCGTGTTTAGGAAGGAACCAGTGGCTTATTCTCTAGCCGGTGGCTCTCTTAAAGGCTGGTTCCGCCCCTTAGACTCAAACCCGCCAATTACAGTGCTGCAGTCTCTGGCCACGCCCAACCACGCCCCCAAGGCCCTCCTGAGGGAATCTTTGCTAGCCTCTCTCCGTGGTGTTGCTAAATTAGTTAACACAAACGTAAAGCGCTAAGACTACCTTGGAGAATGAGAGTAACATACAAGCACAGCCAAGCGATGGGTCTCCCTGATGCCCGCGCCCCGCCCCGCGCACTGGGATTGAAGATGTGCACGGCACATCCAGCTGTAGTGAGGACGTTCATTGGAACGGATTATCCATACAGCAGGAGCTGTATCGGCCACCTCCTGCTCTTAGCAGCTGCCAATACCCACCAGACAGAACTGATGTGTGCATAAGACAAATTTCTCTGAATTCAGGGCATTAAGCCTGTCCTTAAAGGCTGCGATGTAGTTCCGTTGGTAATATTCCCGCCCAGCATGTAAGAAGCCCTGGGTCTCAACCCGATACTGAATAAACTGGGTTCAGGGTGCACAGCTGTAGTTCCAGCACCCGGGAGGCGAAGGAAGGAGAATCAGCAAGGTCATTCCTGGTAACAGAAGGAGTTGGCTTCACGGGTTTGGAAATGAAGCCCGAATGGTGAGCAGAGCTGGGATGAAGCGGCTCCGGGTGACACAGGCAGGCACAAGCACAGCCACACAACCTGTTCTGTGAGCCGATGAGGCTGCAGATTTGTGCTCTGAATGTACCTTTCATACAAGGTTCATTTGAGGTCAACTTGACCGTGTCCTTGAAAAACCCTATTGTGGCAACCCTAGAGGTGGCTTCAGGGACTACTGAAGGCAGGATCAAGACAACGCACACCATCCCCCAAAATGGACCAGATCCCTGCACTCTACTCAAAGTAGGGCAGAAGTATCTAAAATATTTTTGCTTTTAAAAATTTATTCATTTTTTAATTTTATGACCATTGATGTTTGCCATGGGTGTTGGGTACCCTGGAACCAGAGTCAAAAACAGTTGTGAGCCGCCATGTGGGTGCTGGGATTTAAACCCGGGTCCTCTGAAAGAGCAGTCAGTGCTCTCAACTGCAGGGCCATCTCTCCAGCCCTGAGTCTAACATATTTTAGCCAGCGTTGCACACCGACTCAACTAATGTGAACTCATTTTTAACATCCGCCCTGCCGATTAATAAGTCACTGGGCACACCAGTGGAGACTGGTTCCTGAATTCCTCCGTGGCGACTCAGTAAAGCTGCTGCTTCTGAGAGCAGAACGGTGGAATCTCTGGCCATAAATGCCCTTTTAGTTTTTTTAAAAGGTAGTGTGAGGGGCTGGAAGCATGGCTCAGGGGTTCAAAGCACTTGCTGCCTTCCAGAGGCCCTAGATTTGGTTCCCAGCATCCACATGGCAGCTCACAACTGTCTGTAACTCCATCCAGAGATCTTATGCTGTCTTATGACCTCCTTTAGCGCCTGATGCAAATACGTACGAGCAGGCGAAACACTCATACACATAATCTTCTTAAAAAATGACTTGTGTGGGTTAGGCTTGGTGGCACACACTTTTAATTCCAGCACTTGGGTGTCAGAGGCAGGAGGATCCCTGTGAGTTCAAGGCCAGCCTGGTCTACAGAGCAAGTTCCATGCCAAACAGGGCTCCATATCCTCCTGCCTCACTGCGCTGAATGCTGGAACCATGGGAGTGTGCCGCCAAATCCTGTTTCCCAGTTGGCTTCCCTGGGAATGAATGTTCCGCACTGAGACAACTGCTGGCCCCTGGCTGGTGAGTTAAATGACAAATACTTACATTACCGTGACATAATAGATCAAGTTCCCGGGAAACAGACTCTGAGGGGTAGCTGTGTCCAAGAGGAAGTGAGAGGCAGGGCTAGCTGGGGAGAAAAGTCAACACCTAAGCTGGGATGTGGCTCAGCAGAAGCCTGCTCAGCATACATGAAGCCCTGGGTCCGACCCCCAGAACTTGTTCCTCTGGAAAAGCAGCAAGTGTTCTTACCCAGGGAACTCCAGCCCTGAATGAATTAGCTTTTGAGACGTGGTCTCAGGTAGCACAGGCTGACCTGGAGCCCACCAGACAGGCAGGATTCCTGAATTTCTGGGCTCCACCTCCTGAATGGATTACAGGTGTACAGCGCCAGCTTTGTGAAGACAGCTAACCCAGGGTTTGCACCCTAGACCACAAGCCCTTGAGCGCTGGGCTACATCTTCAGCACTCATTTCAACTTTTTCTTTCTTTCTTTCTTTCTTTCTTTTCTTTTTTCTTTTTTTTCTTTTCTTTTCTTTTTTTTTTGGTTTTTCGAGACAGGGTTTCTCTGTAGCTTTGGAGCCTGTCCTGGAACTAGCTCTTGTAGACCAGGCTGGCCTCGAACTTGCAAAAATCCACCTGCCTCTGCCTCCCGAGTGCTGGGATTAAAGGCATGTGCTGCCCGGCTCCTCATTTCAACTTTCAATCACCTCATAGGGACTATGCATATTCATGAGGCAGAGAAGGGCTTCTAGAACCTCAGCTCTGCACTTGAGAGCCAGGATTCTAACCAGATCTGGAGGCCTGGTGTGTCTATACAGCCAACGTTAAGGAGGCGAGGCAGAGGAACCATGAGTTCCAGCCAGCCTGGGCTACAGAGTAAAGCCTTGCTGAAAATAAAAATTAGAGAGAGAGAGAGAGAGAGAGAGAGAGAGAGAGAGAGAGAGAGGAAAAAGAAAGAAGGAAAGAAAGAAAAAAGAAAGAAAGGAGGGAGGGAGGGAGGGAGGGAAGGACAAAGGGAGGGACGGAGGGACAGCGGGAGGAAGGATGAAGCCAGAGCACAGGAGTCAGGGTTTGTTCAAGGGCCGACCCTGAGAAGACAGAGCACTGTTTTCATGTTGCTCTCATAGTCCCATCTTGGGACGTGGGGGACAGGATGTCCCTCAGCCAAAACACTTCTTTTCTCTTCTCCCACATCTCTGGTCAGAACGTCACAACTGACCTTGACCTCCTGGGGTCTGATACAAACATCTGAGCTAAGCAGACAGGCTCCATTGGATGCAGCAGCTTGAGGACCAGGGAGAGACGCTAGACCCAGATGCTGTCTGAGGTCAGTGTGAACCCGGCTTCCGGAGGCTCCAAGAATG